TTTTATTCCAGTAGATGCATTTTTCAATGATATCATTTACTGGTACATAATAATCGTTATTGTTTTTATGTAATTTTCCTTCTTGAATTGATGTTATATCGGGTTTTTGACCATTTATAACTATTGATAAGTTTTGGACATCAGAAAGCGGCCAAAGTTCCAGTAAAATTTCATCATGTCCAGCAATAAATATGGCAGTTGGTAGACCAAAATGAATTGCATCTTGAATTCTAAATAGAACCGCAGAATCATCAGCTGGGGTGTGGGTATGTGTTCGTTCATCTTCACTTAAGCAACACTCGAATCCAGACTCACACCCACACCCACCCACACCCACCAACACTCATCCAGGTACCCAGACCCACATCCCACACTCACACTCATACCCACGCCCAGACCCACATCCCACACTCACACCCACACCCACCCACATCACCCACACCCCACACCCACACATCCCACACCTACCGCACCCACACCCACACCCCCACACCCTTCTTCTCTCTTCTTTTTCACTTCGGGAGTAATAATTCATTAACATGTGGAAGTCAACAGTTGCTATTTAACTTGAGAAGATAAGAACTGAAAAAAAGCCATCAAAAGTAATTTTTACTGCAATCATATACGTAAACACCGAATCGTTAGTTGTAGAGCAGCGCCAACAAAAAAATTGCAGTTAAAAGTTTTGAGAATTTACTGATTTACTCTCGAATGTACTGCAAATTTTGTCCGAAAGACTTTTTAGTTTAATGTTTTTTTAATATTTAATATGTATCTATTCAATTTTTAATAGAAATGATAAAGAAACTTGTGTATGGGATCGAAAAAAAATATTGTAAAAGACATGTTATAGAAAAGCATAAGCTATAAGATTAGTTTCTTTATTAATTTTTAGTATACATTCATTTAGTTTGTACGTCTTGATATAGAAACAATTAAAAATCTTTTTCATATATTTATATGTATTATAAATAACAAAAAATGTTAATATTTATTTATTTCATAGACATATCGTGTTCAACTTATTGAAAAAGTAATGAATAAAGATCGATTAAAAAAAGCCAGATAAAATAATTGTCATTGGTATTTGTAAATGTGGAAGTATAAATGATGTAAAGTTTCTAATAAAAGGAGAAAAGCAAAACACCGATGAAAAGAATGTGCAAAGTGATAAATATTATATTAGAATGAATCAGGATGAGTGTAGAATAAATTAAAAACATGATCCACATTCTCAAGTTTAATTTCATCGATTTATTTCATATTTTTAAAAGTATTTTGCATATAACTATTAATTATTGTTTCTACGATATAGACAAACATCATCGTCCACTTGTTCGACTTGTAAATAACGTTCACCTCGTATATCTACCCAATATTTGTTGATAGATGATTGACGTTTAGATATTGATATCTCACTTTCAATATCAAGTACAATACGTGCTCGTTCTAAATGCCTTTTATATTTATTATAATAATAGAAAAAAGAAAAGATGAAAAATCAATAAAACAAACCATAATTGTGTTGCACTTCTTTTCACATCTGTATATGTATCATCCATCATAGCAATTAGTAAATTTAATAAAAGAATAGTAATAATTACAACATACAATACCAATAAAAAAGTACCAATACATAAATGTTGTTCTTCAATAAAATATTCTAAATTAAAGTCTTCTATTAAACCTAAAAAACATTGTTTGATACTTAACAAATAACCTTGTAAACCTATAATTTATTTAAATATCAATTATTTATATAGAATAGTATATCATTGAAAATTTACCATTTCTATTAAATAAAACAAAATATGATTGTGAGAAACCAGCAAGAAAAATTAGATATATAATACAAAAACGAAGAACATCATTAAATAAAATTTTATAAATCATAATGACCAATGGTCCAGTAAATTCAAATGGCATTATGAAAAAAAACATATAAAGCCATCCAAGAAAACAAGCAAAAGCATGAATAACATTTTCATATGGTATTTTAAATAGACGAAGAAATTGAACAATTAAAATACATAAACTAAATGAACATGATAAAAGATGTTCAAGAAAAACTGGTCCCTGAAAATCAAAAATAATTCATTGAAATTTGAAGAATTTATCACTTACTGTGCTATGCACATAGTTTTCCCAACCCAGATCATATATATCTTTTATCTCACATGCACCTTTGAATAAAGCACCTGATATTACAATTATATATCCAATTATATAAGCTATTCGACAAGGCATATTTGAATCTTTATTATAAGTTGTTCTTGTTTTATTATTTATATCTATCATCTAAAATTATCTTTCATAATTTAACATAAAAAATTTTACTAAATTACCATTTCTGTTCGTGTTTGTTCTAGTATTGTTGTAGCAAGAAAAATGAGAAGATAAATAAATGTAAAGAAAAATCGTCGAATAAGTATTCGATAAGCAAAATAACTCCATTTTTTGTCGATTAATGATATTATAATTGGATTTACTAATTTTGAATCATTATTTTTTATCATTATTTCAAGTACACATAGAGAATGTTTTTTATTCTAAATAAAAGTAATATGAATGAAACAATCAATATAAATTGATTTCATTATACCTGTTCTTGAATATCAACATCAAGTTGATCGAGAGGATGTAATAAACATGAAACATTACCAAAAGACCATTGTATTTTTTTACGTTCATCAAGTAACCATGATAATGTTTCAGATCGACCTATATCAGCTGCTAGAGTAAGTGGTGTCAAATTATCATTATTTAAACGATTCCATAAATTTACAGGTTGTTTTACCAATGTTGAGTTTTCAACTATTCTATTCTTATTAAAAGTTTGCTGTTCAATCCAATATGATTTAAATTTGGTATAAATATCATGTGAGTTACGAATAACAAGCATATGTAAAATAGTAATTACCATTACTGTCCGTCTAGATGTAAATAAGAAGAGAGTAAGTTAGAATTTTCTCACACTTTATTTCTTTTTCTACTGACTACATTCATATCAGCACCATGTTGAAGTAAAATTTTAGCAATATTCCATTGATTAGTACAACATGCAAATGCTAATGGAGTTTCACCATAATAAGTTGGTTGACCTCTAAAAATGTATTGATGTAATAAATGATAGAAGAAAAGTACATTACATTTTAAAGAAGTCACCAGTAGCAGTGGCTGTTAATAGTTGTTGTCGATTACTTTCTGAATGAATATCACTAAGTAACCATTTAACCATATCTAGATTACGTTTGACAATAGCAATATGAAGAATATTTTCACCATAATATTTCTAAATAATTTCTATGACTTTTATCTAAATTAAAATCGAATACATTTCTCTATTTACTGGTTTATTATAAATTTGCGTCATGATCGTTGGAAATCGTCTAATAAGATTTCGAGCAATTTTCAAATGTTTATCTGTTCCACATAGAAATAACATATGAATGGGACAATCACCGACGGCACCTCTTGACATTATAACATTTAGATCAGCATCGATCAAACGATTTATTGCATCCTTATCTGCATTGAATACGGCAGTCCATATTGTATTATCTTTGTACATAAGTTCAGTTTGTTGTTCCACTTCTTCATTTTTCATATTGACATTGAAAATCATTGCCGTCAAGTTCATATTATCATAAATTTTTGTTTTTCTCAAAAGAACATTATACATTCTAGATTATTATCTACAAGTAAATATGTATGAAAGTTAATTAGATTATATTTATGTACTGAAGAAAAAATGAAAGGCTGTTATAATTGCAAATAAATTTGTTATTTTGATGTGTTTTAAAATTACAACAAAAGATTATAAATAGAGATTATTTACTCGTAAACAACTCAGTTCGGAAAATTAGATTTTCTAGAACATACATCAATCTTCATAGTCAAATATTCACATATTGTTTTTTTTTTCGGATTTCTTCTAAAAATTACTATCAGAGAACTTTTCATTGTACAACAAAGAGAAAATACTTTCAAAAACAATCATATTTTAAAACTTGATATATGACATTAACTATATTTGTTTTTTTATAATTCACGAGCAGCATTTATATCATAATCACTGATGATTCTTAAAATTTTCTTGATAGAAATTCCATTTATTAAAATGATTAATAAAGTTAATTAAATACAGAACGGAATTTATACTTAAGAAACATCATTTTATTACATATTAATAATATTTTCTGAAATTAAAATTAATAGAATAATTTATCAAAAAAAGAAGTTTTGATAGTTGTAAGTTCGAAATAGCTTATTTATTTTCATTAACCTGGGCAATACCCGTTATGAGTATGAAAGGGTCTTACAGCTCTACTTACTTTGTGGAAAAATTGATTTTTAGAGAAATGCAACATCTAAATAAATTTCAATTTTTTCTTTAAGTGCTTATGATTCTGTTATGTTTGCTACATACTACGATATTATCAATAAAATAACTGTAACCAAAGAACGAAAAACATTTTGACTGTACATAGTTCCTTGTTTTTGTGTCAACGATGAGTATGAAGACATGTTATGGATAACAGTTGACAGATATACCAATGACTGAGAAAAAAAAAGAGACATGCAATAATTATCGCGAGTTTTTAGATAAAAGTTACATACTTATAAGAGACTAGATTCAAAAACAAGATATTTACAAATATAAAAAAAGAATAGAGTTGAATAGTTTTTTATTATAATAGAGTTTGTTTGTTTACAAATCGTAAGGCATCATTTGAAAGTAAATACATGAAAGAATTAATTGCAAAACAATACATATATGTAATATAATTAACTCTTGTCAATACACTGTTTTTTTTTAATCAAAAGTTTTTTCAATATCATTAAAGTCGAACCGTTCTTTTCCTTTAGTCATAAATCAAAGACTGTACATTATTTTCCCTATTAGAGTCATAGCTAAAGAACACTTTCATTTGTAAGTCTATCTGCTTTATTATTTTGGTACTGATATATTTTCTGTATATTGTTTTCATGCGTCTTTTTTCATTAGTTCTTTTTTTAGTAACGTAATAACCTCTCATATGAGAATACAAGTTATATCCCATACAGAAACGAGTACGAATTTTTACTCATGCCCTGACATGACCCAAATATATATAGAAGTCATATAACTTGAAAAATTGATATAATGAGTTTTAATTTGACTTATTAGAAAGAAAAACTTGACCTAATTTAGCTTTCAATTCTGATGTTTTTGGCTCAAACTTCACTTCAGATCTAATAACAACTTTCCGAAATAGTTTCTTACATTTTCAGAAGACATCATCAAACGAATAGGATGTTCGTTAAAGATTTTTTGAAATCTATTTAAAAAAACTGAACGATATAAATGAGAAACTTTTAGAACCACCCTCATTCTCATCGGAATATTTTTTTAAAAATTTTTTAGATTGATGATTACATAAATGCTTATAACAATGTAAATATAATATAAACTATACCGAACTTATATCAATGGAACAGAAAAAGAAAAAAGATAATGTATGTTGACAATCATTCATCGTTAGAGAAGAATTATAGTCATTGCAAGGTCGTACATCTAGCATATTTTGTATCAGTATGATATAATTAATGTAGACATGTGAATTTTATCTTTCAGCTTCAAAGAAACTCAGTCGACACACGTTATTTATACTATTCATTGGGTTTGATAAATGACAATTTTTTTTATCATTCTAGCAAGATACTACTAGAATAACATTTCAATAATCAGATAATATGCCATTGCTCAAGTTATTGGGTATAAAATCAGATAATAAAAGGAAGTAACAATTGACATGATTTATTTTTGTCAAGTATTTCTATTGCTTAACATTCATGCATATTAATATAACCCATGAAAAAAAAAATTCGTATAAAAGCGCATTCCAACGCAATCTTTTGGAGAAAAAACGCTGCTTTTGCATTTAAATGAATCTTTTTTAATTTATAACACATTTTTTCAACTTAAAATGTCACCCAATATCTGCGTTCAAACATGTTCGATTTGATTCATTGCAGCACATTTTCTTTTTTATTTCTTTTGCTGACAACATCCCAGGCGAGCAAAAAAAGGGTAGGACGGACAACATGTCTAGTCTGAAACGTCAGTACTGCCCGTCATGTCTAGTCCAAAATATTTTGTTTGACAGTCAAGTCTAGTCTATTCCGCATAAAAAAGTCATACTTTGTATCTAGACTAGTCGAAAATTTCTGGAAATCACGTCCAGACTAGTCTAATGTGTCTTCAACAGTAGTCATGTCTAATATATTGTACACAAAACGACATACTTTAGCGTTTAGAATAGTCCAAAGTTTATAAAAGTCATTCTATGTCAAGTGAAAAACGTCTTTTTCACCAGTCAAGTCTAGTTTATTTATATTGTCCAGACTCGTCCATAAAATAAAAAAGTCAGAAGGATAGGTGAAGATAGGTGGATTCGAACGTTCGATCAGACAATATTGAGGACCTGACTAGTCTGAACTATTTTCAATAGTAAGACGAACTAGTGGAAGCGTCATTTGTATTGTTCATGACTGGTCCATTTTTGAGAAGGTAGTACTAATTCATATCCAGAATATAGTTTCAACTCTTCAAAATGTCCTGTTTGCTTCGATCTTAATCTCCACACAACTCTCTTGGACTGGTTCGTATCAAAACTAGAAAAACACAAAAAACCAGATAGAATTACAAAGCAGCTGTTTACATCTTAGCTGGAGTTACCTATTTATATGCTATAAAATTTCTGAATTACGAAAGGAATTAAGAATAATTTTATTCGAAAAATAATCTTAATGTTTTTACATGAGAATTACATTTTATTTTTAGCATTAATTCTGACAATTTGAATTTAAAGATAGATTTAAATTAAATAATTGTAGTTTATTTTAGAATTGAAATCGAAAAAATTAAACTAAAATAAACATTAATCATTATATGAAAAAATATGGTTTTAATTTACATTATTTTAAATTTGTTTCTCAATTTTGATTGTTTTTACAATCCAAAGTAGTTTTTCTGAAATATTGAAGATCAATATATTTTTTTAAGTTCTGAATTAACTTCATTCAGACTTATTGAAATAATTTTGGGTTTTATGATAAATATTTTTTATTTACATCACAACTAGAAAAACTCTGAGTAAAACTGTGTTAAATAACATTTCAGAATGTGTACCGATACATAGAAGTTGATTACTCGATTATATGGTTCAATCAATTAAACGATGGGTAAGTTACATATTTGCATGCGTGTTCGAATCTAACCTTCTGCTTATATTTCTATAAACTAGACTAGTCCGGACTAAACTACTACATAAGACTATAATTTGTTACATGCAGCGTCACAGACGCCTTTCCTTTTTCGATTTAAAATCTATTTTTCACCGGAATCCGGACTGCATCGCATAGGTAGTCTTTTTTGCAAAAACGACTATACATAACAAAATGGCATGATGCCAGTCAGTTACTTAGTCAGGGTGGGGTCTAAAGACTACAAACGATATTCGGACTAGTCATATACTAGAACTTTTTGAGAAGAAGACTAGATCTGCTGAACATAATGATCCCCAACAATTACATAGACAGGACGGGCACTTTGGACCATCAATGATTTCAGACTAGTCCAGGAGGAGGACTTTTTGAGAAAAAGACTAGACCTGACATACAGTCATGACTAGAAAAAAGGCTAGTCTTTTTGCTACTCTTTTGCTCGCCTGGGATGACTTTTTTTACAAACGTGCTGAAAAGTATATTTTTCAACTTGATTTCTACGGAAAACCACTTTTTGTTCATAAAATCATCTGCACAGGCATTTCAATTTATGATTTTTCTTTTAATGTAGCAAAATTATGTTCATCTCAACAGCACAGCGAAATATTCCAGTGATGAGATCAGTTCGTGCTTTTCTGAAACTGAACCAAATCGAACCGATTCGAAAATCAAGGAGATATAGAAGTTTTAAAATCTTGTTTTTTTTCTAAGAATATTTCTGTAAAAACCGTTATTGAGAACATGCTAAAAACCTCAATAATAATTATAAAAATGAGCTAGAAATCTGTCGTAGAAATATTGAAAACATGTGTATTTTCGTTTCAGAACAAAAAGTTTTCAATGATAAAAGACTAGTATATTTTCAGTGATTAGTCATTTTTTGTTGTCGTTCAAGGTGGATATATATGGGCAAAATCATTTGTTAGCGACGTGACTTCGCAAAATTGAAATGTATATATCTCTGGACAAAGAGCTTATCTAGAGCTGGTTTTTTATTTTTTCTGCGTGTATTAAGTTGCTCTAAACACCCTGAAAAAATCAGCCCTAGAGACCCTTGTTTGTCAGAGTTAGGATTAAAAAACCAGCGTTAGCGACGTGACTCAAAAAAGGGTGTGGGTGTGGGTGAGTGTGGGTGTGTGTGGGTGTGTGGCTGTGGCTGTGAGTGTAGGATGTGAGTGTGTGCGTTGAGAGAAGACTGATACTCAAACCCACACCCACCCCCTGAAAGTCATAGAAAATGTAAGGCATCGAAACAATTTGAAATGTATATAGGTCGACTCAGTTTTTTGTCCTGATTTCAAATATGATACGGTTTAAAAGTCAAATGAAGTATTTTCCGTTTGAAAATTGTCGAATATTAGTCAGAAGAGAGGTAAACTAACCATTGAGTGTTGTAGTTAGAGCAAAAGTGCTTCATAAAACATCGAATTTCAAATAGAAAATGATCTCATCGGAAAGACCGCATTCACTTGCATATCCACTGAAAAAAATCAAGCTGGTGTACCTGAAAAAACGATAGCTTCGAACGACTCGAAGAATCATTATTTGTGCCAGTATGACCTAATTGAGACAGTACTTGGCATTCATCGATAGACAATAATTTCAATGTCTTAGACGTTCTTATAAAATCTGATAGAGAGTAAAACTTTCTATCAAATAAGCCTATTTGCGATTAACTTACGTCGGGCTTTGATGGACTTTCAGGTCAAAAACTGTTTTTTTTACCGCTTCTGGTGGATGCTTCAGATCTTTCTTATTAGCCAAGTGTGATCAAATAACAAATGTTTTTTCACCGAAATGATCAGCTTTGAAAGCTCCACAAATTCTGCAAGTTTCACTCCAATTGAAAGTAGTCATTTGTAAAAACTTTAGATCTCCGCCTCGGAAGGTCTCAAGATATCTAGGGGAAACAACACTATTTAATAATGTTGTCTCAATATTTAAACCAAATCAAAAGGGTGGAGAATTCTGAACTATCAGGATTATAGAGCAAGTAACGTTCTGTCGAATATACTATACTACTATATCGAGCAATTCGGTTTTCTGAAATAATCAAGAACTCTGTTTTTTGTGCAATCGGTGAGTAGTCAACCTATATATGAGGCACAAATTTTTTCCAAACCTCAAATCGAGTTTAATATGATTTGATGCGCCTTTTCACGAGGAATCCAAATATGGTCTCGGTTCTTATCTATACGTTCGTTTTAGTGAAGAAAGCTATCAAAAACCGTTGGTCAAAATTGTGTAGAAAACTGTTTTTTTTACATTTTACTGGTAATTAATGATAACAGTATTTTTGGTGTATCTCCTTGAAAAATAAAAGCTTTTAAAAAAAAAATTTTTTTTTTATTAAAATTCTTAAAATTAAAAGCTCTACAAACGCTGAAAATTTCATCAAAATCGGAGAATTTTTTTGTACAGTGTATCTGAGATCCAGTGGAAATACGTGAACTTATTCTTATTCCTAATAAGTACAATTATTACTTCTCTAGAATTTAAAATTGTTCAATAAGTTAAATGAATTTTAACATCAAAATATTCTGCATGTCTTCAGATCATTTGACTTTTGTCTTTCGTCGACATCAACTAGTTTTGAAAACGAGAATAGCAGTACATGAAATACTACAAGAATAGATCATTCAAAGAATAGTTATTTCGAAATTAAAACATTCTTTCTTTGATTATCGGTAAATTGCATATAAAATTTTGTATCTAATTTAATCGTACAATTTAGTTAATAATTGTTTTTTTTTCTCTTTTTCTTTCGTACATTGAGTATCCATGTTTGAAAAAAAATGACGCACATTCACATGAATGTATGTTTGCATAAGAACAATCAAATGCATATCACCGTTGCCAGCTATAAATTCATATGACAACAACAAAAAAAAAAAAAAAAAGAAAGAAATTCACCTTACGTTTTTCTTCCCTTCACTCTTTCAATAGAATTAAAAAGACGAGAGCAGATTGTACAGCAAATAAAAAGACAAACGTACACAAGCTTCATGAAAGAATCTGCTTGTGAATACAACGAACACAATTCATATATCAGTAAAGATTAATAATTATTGTTTATTTATAATTTCTTTATTATCATTTACAATCTAATAGATTATGATAATGAGTTAATTATATCAAATTCAGAAAAATTCGATGATTTATGTCGAAAATTAACATTAACTGATGTTGATCAAGCATTATTTACATTAAAAATTAATTCGAATTCATCTCAAAAACGAAAAATTTCTTCCGATAATAGCACATCAACGATATTACTTGAACAAGGTAAATTACTTGACGACTATCTCTATTCAAGTACATCAACGATAATACAAAGTTTTTTTTTTAATAATCAAAAGCAAACACTAGATATAAAAAAAAGAAAAGAAAACGTTCAGCAAGGTTAAAATGTAATACAAAACCATCACATTACTTTCATTGTCAAGAAGAAAATTTTATCCGTTTATGTATTACTATTGTAATGAATAAAAATACAAGAACCAAAGAGATCTTTGAGCAAGAAAAAAAATGATCTATCGATGCCTGTAATGTAAAAGGTTCAGTTTGTTTTTAAGGAACATCTAACTCAAGTTTATCATCTGATTCCCAAACTTTGAACTTATATTTTGCAAGTAATTAGAACACTACTATTCTAACACAACCTCCAGAGAGTTGTTTTTTCATTAGATTTTCGTCAAGATATCAAATTCCCAAGACATAAGACCTTATTGTATTTATAGTAAAAGAAAGTGGTGTTTAGCTAAAATTACAGAACAGTAGAATATCTTGAGAATTTTTGTAATCAGATGATGAATTTGAGCTAGATAGTCCTCGAAAACAAGCTCATTTACTGAAGCTTAATAAAATGACCAAAATATAGTATAATATTGATACATTACGAAATATTTTTTTACTTAGATGATAGCTCTTTTCTTACCTATAACATGTAATCTAACTTAATTGGTAATATGTGTGGGGACCAAATTTGTCGAGTTTCAGATGTATTAAATTATAGTTTTTGATTTATTTTCTTTTAAATAGAATATGATTGTTGTCGTTTACTTCGATCGAATACTTCATCACGTTCATTTTTACCATTAGCTCGTCGTGGTCGTTCATTATTTTCAGCTCGACCTCATCATTTACTTTGTACAAATTGTACAAAAATAAAACATCAACAACAACTTGATATTTTACAAAATCAACAACAAAAAATTTCTTCAAATCATACATTTCAAATAACAATTAATTTAGATTTATCATCTCAAGAACAAATTGCTTTAAATAATCAACAATATCAATCAAGTCAAACACTTGTTTGGAATATAAATACATCCGATAGAAATACTATTGATCTTACTTATGATACTGGTACATTAAATGATCATGAAAAGAAAATTTTACTTGATGAAACAATTCAAAAACTTCAAATGATTCTCAATAATCGATCAACGACAACATTAACAGAAAATAATCATGATAATCCAGAATTTACAAATCGTATATTAAAAACAACCATCAATATTCTTTCTTCATCACAAAATTCAATTTAAATTTATTTAAAATAGGATACTAAAAACAAAAAAAAAAACAAACAACCAATAACAAAAAGTCAACCATTATATTGCACAATGTATTTGTTTTAATAATAATAAAAATATGAGAAGATATTTATATAATGATCGATTATATATTTGACCTGTATCATATGCTGATTGAAGTAAATAAGCAGATGATGAACCTTCTTGACGTGGTAAACGATGCAATTCTTCTTCTAAAATAAAAAAGAAAATATTTTCAACTGCATTAAAATTAATTTTATTAAGTAGTTGAATAATTCAAAAAAAACAACGTTCAGGAATATCGCCGTTTATAAATCTCCTTAGATTATCATAAATTTGAATTAAAATAGATATAGGAACAATGATCTTTTTCAGTACTTAGGATGACCTATTACTAAATCCAATTCTAATAAAAATGTTTTTAATAATCTGTTAAGTTTTAATAGAAAAAAAAACAAAGGCTATCTTACAAATACATGTAAATCCAGACGTCTTATATAAATCAAAAGACATTAATTCTTATAAGTCATAGATGAAGAGTTTATCAGCATAATTATAAAATGACAACAGAAAAAAAATTTCTCCGAATTGCAAGTAAACGAGATCAGAAGGAAAAAACATATTAATACTTACTAGTTCGTCGTCTAACTAATATTGATGATTCTTTTCCATCATATCTACATGTATAATTCGTTTGATTAAAATGATGATTTTTTGTATTTAATAAAATTGTTAAACGTTGTGTATTAAATGATATTGTTTCAATAAAAAATTTATGTTTATCTTCATCTAATGTGTGTCCATTAACAAACCACATTAATTTATGAATTTCGATTGATGAATCACATAAAAGTGAACATGTTATTGTAAATGTTCGATTGACCGGATAAAGAAGAATTGGTAACGATGGAGAAAGATATGGATGAGCTAATTTAAATAAAAAAAAAAAAACAAATTTGATTTCTTTTTTTTTCTATTACTCAAAAATAAATAACATACAATTAACAATTAATTTAATACTATGTTGACCATTTGTACTTGATTTACATGTATAATAACCTTGATCTTCAATTAAAATATTATTTATTAATAAACGAGATGTTGTTGATGATGATGATATTAAATTAAAACGACCATTTGCTGCATATTCTGGTAGAAGAATATCACCAATAGCAATAAATGATAAACGACTATGAGATGAATTCGGACGAAACCATGAGATCTAAAATATCATAAACTAAATTCCTAGCAATGTGATATTTTTGACATATTTCCAATCGAAGAAAAATAAATAAATTCAATTTTCTATTTATCTCAAGGACATACCACTTCATCCGATTGTTTTGTTGAACGAATTGGACAAATTAATTCAACATCAGTACCACATGTAGCATGCATTGTTGTTGAACCATTAGCTATTAAAATTTATCAAAATCAATGATTATCATTTTCATAGGATTTATGTTACTTACAACAATATGATAATGATTGTAATAGAAGCAAATAAAAAATGACAAAATCACCAAATCTTCGAAACGACAAGTTGATAGCGATGTTGATCATTATTATCGATGAACGTCTGCCACATTGCGTCTGCAATAATAATACATATACAAATCGTTTGGGACATTCATATATGTCTCGGGTGTGATTAACTTTTTAGTAGTAGACGTCACTTAGATTGTTCTTTCTCTTCTTTTTTTTTTTGTTCAATACACTCACACACACATATACACACGCCTACATATATACATTTCGATTTTTCATCATTTTCTTCTCAATTAAAATCACATTTGTTGTTTAGCTACAGCATATAATAGGAGAGGATAAAATGTTAACTCTGATATCAAATTTGTCCACCTTTGTCAAAATTTTTTTATATAGTCAAATCATCATTCAAATAAATTAGAATTTTATTGAATAAGACTGACTCATTTTAATATATATTTATATATATATATACACTATGCATGTGCAATTTTTTTTTGTTTCTAATCATTAAACAATTAATTGACGTAGATGTGTGTGTTTATACGAAATTCGATTCTATGTAGCTTTTGCCATATGTCAACAATAGAAGAGAAAGAACAACTGTTCAGTCTGTCTCATTGCTACATATATTCTCTCATAAAGCACAAGCGTAGACAATCTAGAGAACAAAGAAAAAAGAGAAAGTTAACTTTTGAGTGACTACAAGCACTTGAACAGTTTATTACATAAAGAGAATAGACGCAATAGCTCATGCAGACAAAAGATTGTTCAATAAGTCAGACAAAGCAAAAAAAAAAAAAAAAAGAAAAAGCGCGTGCAAGAGAGATATAGAATAATTTATTCTTCTACCCATTCAAGTTACAACAATGATGACAAACACAAAGCTAAGAATTTAAAATTAGATCGATATAAATGATGATGAATGGCATACAGGATCACATCAGCACTAATAGACCGAAGAGAAAAAAAGACAGAATAGGATTTAGTTTCGTATAATGTTTGAACTATTATATTGCACGTGCTCATCTTATGTGCATATATGTATACTCTTGAATCTTCTAACGACATTCATGATGCAACTCTCATATATATATATATATACATATAAGTCAAGCAAAAGACATGATCAATCAACACTCATACAAATGGACTTCTCTTTTTTTTTTTTCTTTCTCTTTGTATATATTTCTTGTCTATGCTTATGATTTTTTGCCTTCAAACATTTGAATATGATGATGATCATTAGATTCAATCTAAGCAACAGATTTTCTTTCATACAAAACTAAGACCTTCATATTTGACATTTTTAAACAATGTAAAATATGGTGATGTTATAAGATAAAGTCATATTCAATTTATAAACATAATTATTTATCATCAATTAAACTTTTACTTTACTTATTTATCAGTCATGGTAAAATGAACATATGTAAAATTTTCAAAAAATAAAAACTAACTTACTTGAAGATAAAAATCTTATTTGTGGTGTAATCTTCACACCAAAATTGTTTTCGATAATATACACTTGATAATAGGAAAGATAAATAGTTCTATAAAATTTTTGTCATCATCTATTTTAAGAACATTAATGATAGCATGCTATTCGATAAAAGAAAAAGAAAGCTTTATGGATTTGTTGAGTTGAATTATGAACAAGAAATGATGAGCATTCCTCGAGTTCTCGATTAACCATCAAGAGACATAGAGAGAAGAGAAGAAGAAGAAAAAAAAGAAAAGAGAAAACAGAGTACAACAGAGAGAGAGAGAGAGCGAGAGAAAGAACAATGTCTTCTCTATTCTTCGAAATCTACAATTAAGGTAATTCATTCACTGTTAGATTCACTTTTCTTTTTTTTTTTTTTTCTACTTCTTGGATAATTCGACTAACTACAAACATGATCATGTTTCCTTGAATGAACTAAAATTCTTTTAATAAAAGAAAGGAAATAAAAAAAAAATTTCCGTTTCATACATAATATCAAATATAATAAAAAAGAATATTTTTATTTTGTTATTCTGTTCTGTTCTGTTTTTTTTTGTTTTCTTTCATCATCACCTCAGAGACGAAATATGTCGGCATGTGTGTTTGTTCAATCGATTGAAGTAAAAAGAAAAAGAAAAAGAAAAAAAGAATTGTAATTTTCACATGCAATAGATTCTAGTGAAAGAAGAAAGCCATACATACACACACACTCACATACAAAAATAAAAACGATGGCGTTACAATCGCATAACATGAATTTAACAGAACCACTTGCACCTAATGCTGAATGGGTTCATGAAAGTTCGGCACAAGTAGGTTTTAAGTTTATGTGATTCTTAGTGTTCATTTTAATCTAAATGTCTAAACTTCATAATTTTCCATAATGTGATTGATCGCCTGACCCGTCGCTCTCAATGATTAATCTTGATCTCGATGGGAGGTGTCATTGGTTGTGAGGATGAATGATCCGCAACGACAATCGCCTGCCCACCCGCCCCTGAACTTCTAACACAACAGTCAGGTCACGACATGATGCCTATTATCATAAGCTTACCTTTTTATGACGTAATATAAAACAATGATGATTTCCTTGTTACTGTTACCCTGATGTGTATGTCTATCCTGAGGCTTGACAAGAGCAAAAAAGAAAAAAAAAAAAAAAAGAAATCCGCCGTGCATTTATTATTCAATTGATAATCACGATATGAGCATTATATGTAATGAGGTTCTAGTCATTATTATTATTATGATCGAACGGATGCTTTCTTTCTTTTTTTTGTCTTGCTGTCTATATTTTCTTGATCAAAAGATTTATTATCGTCATTATCAAGAATTTTTCTTACCTTTATTCATTCATTCTTTCTTTTCAATTCATTCAATGAAATTAGATACTATTCACCTTTTCATTGATGTATCATGTATAATATGATTTTATGCAATAGAATATAATATATATATATATATGTATGCAATTGTAGGTTGAAATAAAATTGTATCATGGACATACGGGACCTATTAAATCATGTCAATTGATTGAAAATAAAAATTGGCTTATAACAGGATCAAATGACAATACAGCTCGTATATGGGATTTTCATAGTGGAAGACAAATTCATCAATATAAACTTAATCATGACATGGCAGCTGTACCAGCCGTAAGAATCAATCAAGAAGCAACTCGGTACATTTATTATAAACTTATATAATAATCAATTAATCATTTTTATTTTCTAGTTTATATTCATGTAGTTGGGATAAGACAGTGCGTTGTTTTGATGTTGAAACTGACAAAGAAATTGTATATAAATACATTCTTTTCAATAGTATTATTATTTTTGTGTTTATTTTCTATTAGTGGAAAGGTGTTCATGAACATATTGTTACAAATTGTCATATATCTCATGATGGTAAATCTTTATGTTCTGGTACTGATTTAGATAGTGTTCTAACAATATGGGATACAACAAGTGGTCTTATGACTTCTCGAATACCTAATGTACATGAATCAACTATAACAAGTTGTCAATTTAATATGTCAGATGATCGAATAATCACAACATCAACAGATAAAACAACAAAATTTTTCGATCTTGTTTCTCAGCGTTCGACAATGACATTAAGGTATATATATATATAATCAATAGACATAGAGATTGGCTCACTTGTCAATCAATGATGCAAGACATAAAAATACTATGTCATGAAAGATTGATCTCTTATACAACAAAACAATCATAGAAAAGAGAAATATATCATACGAACTAATTGATAATGATGCAATTGCATGAGTTTACCAAAATTTCATATATAACAAAAGGAAAAAATATTCTACTATTTTGTTTTTTTTGTTTCTAGAGGTCATGAAGGAGTTGTATCAAATTGTACATTCAATAAATTTGAACGATTATATGCAACATGTTCATGGGATAAAACAGTACTTCTTTATGATGCTACAGTTGGTAGTTTTAGGTGAGTGACAAGACAATTAGCTCTTGCCATTCATTCGAACTCTGTGGGTGTTCAAATTAATGAGATGGCCTTTTCAGATGCTCATCTTTATACACTCCTCCTTCTTATTCTACCTGCTGAGCATGTCAACTGTTCAATTGATATGTATATTTTTTTTTTGCTATTATAGACGTGAAGGTCCTTTAATGTTACCAAAATTACATGAAGGATCGATCGCGGCATGTCACATGTCGGATGATGGCAAGCTTCTTGTTACTGGAGGATATGATTTACGAGTTGTATTATGGGATTTAGAAAATATGACACATAAGCTTGGACTACGTGTAAGAAAGGATTAAAATAGTTTCCATATATATGTCAATGAAATATTTCATTTTTTCTTTCAATAGGGACATCGTGATTGGATTAATGATGTCTGGTTAACAAGTGATAATAAATGGATTATATCAGTATCAAATGTAAGTATATATATATATTATTTAAAATTATTTTTGTTTTATTAAACAAAAGGATTGTGATATACGTTTATGGCATGTAGAAAATTGTGATAATATAAAACAAGTTATAGAACAAAATAAAACATTAAAAAATGCTAAAATTGTCAGGGTAAGTTTAAGAAAGCAAAAAAAAAAACATTTGTTTCTTATTGTTTTTTTTTTTACCAAATTTAGTGTTCCAAATGTGGTAAAAATTTTTCTTCAAATAAATTAAAACGTGATAATCATGATATATTATCATCAACAATTTTATGTGTTTTTTGTCGTCTTGAACAAAAACAAATTAATGCAAATTATAATCATTCATTAAATGATTATGATCGACCAGCAGCATTAAATGATCAAATATCTCATAAATCAAATTTAACTGAAATGTCACTTCAACATCATTAATTTTATTAATAAAAAATAGTTTTTAATAATTTATATTGATCAAAGAATTTTTTATTTCGATTATGATAGTAAATAATAAATAAATAATCTTTCACTATTTACTTAAGAGAATCAAGAGATGAAAATTTGTCTTCACCAATAAATTCTTGTATATAGAATAAAGTAATCTTCTATGATTAGCACTAGTAGTTACATCGTGTTTCACATTTTATTTCCATAGAGATTGTACT